GGGGAAGACTCTGTCACACTGATGTGGTCTCATTACAAGTTAGACACAAGAAAGAAAAAGTTCCAAGGCATGATAAATTACCTCTCACACTACACAAAGGCTTATCACATGAAAGCATAACAGGATGAGATATGGTTCAACTGGATACAAGATTTCCTTACCATACTGGGTGTCTCTGTAGGAACAGGAACTTAGAAACCACTTTCAGAATTTCTGCTCCAACAACTTTACTTTCATGGAAAGAACATTTGAGCAGTCCATGGTAGAAGGTCTACGTCCTCTAGAAAATTGACTAACACATTTAATACTCAGTCACTCCAAAAACATTTTACCTTTTGTTATTTACATTTTCTGTGTAGAAGCTAGTGTCCTGCTGCCTCTTCCATCTGTATGCTAAACTGATGAAAAAGGCTGAATTGTGAAGCATCTCTTGTCCCCTCACTGAGGGATTAATACAGAAGAGCATGGTTAAAAACTTTGGAATGTTCACTATAGTAAGAGGTTGTCAAACACTTAATTATCAACTAATGGCACTCTTGGCTTTGAGTAACTGGAGACAAAAAAGATGTAATATCTTTTAAAGTTCATAAAATAAATGTAGACATTTCAGATATAATGTTGTGATGAAGTTTCTACAGTTTATTTAACAAAATTATTCCTATACTACTACATATCAGGACTAAGAGCTTCAAACAGAATTCTTGCAACTGCTATCCCTACAACACAGACGTCAGAGTGGATCAGAACCCATGCAAATACAAAAATGCAGTAAAAAATGCATATCATTATTGCAGAAAGTAAATTCAAATTTATTGAAAACAAAGCATCTCCTAGTTTCCCAGTATCTTCTACTCACTATACTACTATCTCATTTTCGCATTAGATCACCTGCCTAGTATAGCAAAATGAACTATCACCAGTCTACAATTAGAAAGCAGCCCAACATTTTTGGTTAAGAAAGTACTGCTGTAACTGAGTATTAATTCAAGCCCTACTTCTCCTCATCTAATTGGCCCATAAGAACTGATGAGAGAAATATTTATGCCTGTTTGGAAATCTAACTGCAATAGGACCTGTCCTCCTTTAAAAAAAAAAAATCACATTTACTGTCTTAGAAGATACTGAAAAATCTGAGATTGTTTTGTCACTAAGTCTGAAGTGAAAAAAATGTGCACCTTAGGCAGTCTAGTAGTGTCTGGATTTGCTCTTTCTCCCTTGGGCTGCAAGGTTTGTGATCCTGTGTTGAAAAACAGACTTGTCCATTCCTATAGAGAACAGCACGTGAATCACCACAATTGATAAAGTATACATGCTCAGGTGAAATCATAACTCCCAGTGCAGTTGAGCCACTTCTGTCCATCCCATTTCTGAGGTCTGAGAAATTGCGCATATACTCATCAATTTTCAAAAAGCCAGTTTGGACTAGATGATCTTTCAAGGTCCCTTCCAATCCCCAACATTCTGTGTTTCTGCGATCTGACAGTATGTACCCTGACTGAGACCATTTTTTCTGTGGTATGGTACAGAACTGGAAAGTATGGTTCTCAAGGTTTTTAAAATCTAATAATCATAGAATGAAATAACTTTCCATATTACAGTAAAAATAAATAGGTAGTACTTTGTGAGAAGTCTCTGTCTAAACACTCTTACAGATATAAGTTATGTTAAAACTGTGTATATACGGAAAATGTTGTGTTATAATGAGGAGAAAATGTTCTCAACTTTATCAACAACCTCCAGGCAAGTTCATTGGGTTTATCAGTTCACAAAAATTGCCCAGTTGCATATAAAAAATATTACCACGTCTCAACCATCAGTACTCATGTGTATAGTGCATTAAGGCTGTGATCCAGGTGACTCACTAAGCACCCGCTAAAAGTACTAGTAACCCGTTAAAACATGAAGCAATGCCAATAACCTAATCTCTCTTCTCGCATTCATGTTCAGTGTATGCTATCTTTTTTCTTTTCTTTGAAATAAGAACTCAGAAGTGTTTCTGAAGACAAAAAAAAAGATGTTTTGATAAGTCAGGCTTCCTTCAGGAAGAATTCTATGGCCACAAATTACAGCTGTTAAGAATGGAGCAAGAAACTTGTTCAAATGCCAAGATAAACCAATGGTCCTAGATCTCTAAGCACATGCAAAAAAGCACTTTAGAACATAAGTTCCTTAAAGAGTTTTTTTTTTTAACTATTTACAATCTTTAATTTTTTGGTCTTCAATGCAAATCAATTCTTAGAATAGGGTGCTCATCTGCTAAAAGAAAGATAAGCTGTCCATGAAAAACTGTGTTATAGCTGATGACATCTACCACAATAAATTTTTCTTGCTTTTCATTGGAATCAGAGAAGTCACATATCAAACATGTTTGGCATAACATTTGACTAGTATTTATTGAAAGCATTAAGGATTAGCATTTTCATCTAGAAAAAAGAGTTTGTATGCAGCAGGTAAATGCATGGCTTTTTCTACAGAAAATGATGCTTCTCTAGAAAACCTCAGTACATGTTTACATGTTTTATTTAGATGCTTCTGGTTTTTTGATATGGTACAGTAAAAAACTCCCCAAAACAACAACAAACACTGCAAAATGGAAGGCTGTTTGAATTTCAAATTCCTTTGAATGGCAATGCCATTAAGGAAGGTAATACCATATATACTGGCATTTGTTTAGGATGCAGAGAAGAAAGCCTAACTGAGCGGGGCAAAGACATGCCTAGATATTAATATAAAACAGACCAACCAGAACATCTAGCCTTCAAGAGCTTAAAGACAGGATGGGAGGAGAACGGGCAGAAATTGCTGGGCTATAAAGATATGAAGTCTGCAGGAGAGAGTGAGAGAGGTGGCCATACCAGGAACAGAGTAGCACTACATTAAAAAACCTAAACTTGTTCCTGCCATTTGACTCTAGTGTCATCCCAAGTGGAATACACTGAGGTAGTACACAGTGACTACATGTTTTAGACACTTCGAATATCTCCCCTGTGGAGTCGCTAAGGGTTAGGGAGTCATTTGATTGATATACAAAATCACAAGGAGTAGATGAGGTAGGAAGCGATCCTAAAGGTATTTTCCAACCAAAATGATTCTATGAAGAGACCTCTGGATATCATTCAGTTCAAACACACTGTCCAAGCAGGGTCACCTCACCTCAAGACTGTTACCAAGGAATGTGTCCAGTCGGGTTTTGAGTATCTCCAAGGATGGAGGCTCCACAATCTTTCTGGGCACCTGTGCCAGTTTTCTGTCACTCTCATAGTGAAAAAAGTTCTTCTTTAAGCAGAATTTCTTGTATTTCAATTTGTGCCCATTGCCTCTTGTCCTACCACTCGGTTTCACTGAGGAGTCTGTCTCTATCTTCTTTCTGCTCCCCTGCCCCTCCCCATATTTATACACATTGTCAAGATTCTCCCCAAGCCTTCTCTTCTGAACAGTCCCAGCTCTCTCAGTTTCTACTCATATGTCATATACTTCAAGCACTTTTCTGGACTCATTCCAGTCTGTCCTTGTCCCTCATGTACTGGGGAGTCCAGAACTGGACACAGCACTTCAGATGTGGCCTCATCAGTGCTCAGTACAGGGCAAGGATCACCTCCCTCATCCCGCTGGC